TGCGGAAACGCGACGTCTCCATGGTTACAACATTGAAACCCCGCTAGGGGATGACAAAATGGAGAGGCGCAATACTCGGCCTGACAAAAGCGAAGTAGAATCGAAGAACTCCTTTGGCTACGTGCTTGTATCAGAAAAGTCGAAGTGTACCCAGATACAGACAAGGTAACTCACGGAGTTTCGTTCTAATGCATCCACCGTGCTGATTAAAATTACTTAAAATGTTGGAAAAAAAAGGAGGCTCGAATCAAACCAATGGATGTCTTCATAAATGGATCAATGATTAAAACTCGTTCAAATTAAAGCATTTCACAGACAACGTTCGCTAAAGTAAAATGCAAGGCCATATTGCAACCAGGGTAGATTTTCGTCGTAACAAAAGAAACCGAGATGAAAATCATCTCGTGTCCGCACGATTTGCGTTAACACCGTTCAATAGCACCCACGTTGACACTATCTGTCATCAGACACCCTCAGACCGTGGGTACCGACGATAGGACATTGCGTTTGACAATGTTCAACGCAGCCAGCAAGAAAAAGATTGTATCTTCCCACTTCCTGATGCATGACAGTGTCCTCTTCAAGGTTTAAACCAGACTTCCAATGTTTTCAATAGCACGATCGTTCCCGTGAAAGGAATTAAAAACGAGCTAGAAAACAATACATAGATAGTTCGTAGATCCTGTGTAAACAAAGAAGGATCTTGGAAGAAAATGGCGACCCGATATACAGGCGTTTAATCCCGGATGAGACGACGGATGTGACGGTGGCAACGAAGGATGACGAAGGCGAAGCTGGAAGCGGGAGACGACGCAGACACATCTCTCGGATTACGTCTTAACAAGCTCTACGACGTTCATTTGTCTTATCCGCTGTCGCTAATGCGACAGCAGCTGTTGAAATGATTAATTCACCGCGAGGATGCTCCTACGCCTCGTACAACCGTACGCGGTCGCGTTGCTGCGCTCGCGCGCGACAACCGTCACGCTACGACTTTCCATTATGGTCCCCATTTCAATTAATCAACTCTCTTATCGTTACTATAAATACCGTCGAATGTTTAATTAAACTGTGGTCGAGATAGCATACGTTCAGTACACATGTTCCACGTGTATTATATCTTATAGTGATAATGCATTATAATTACGGCGCTGTGCTGTAGGAGGTCTTCAAACAAAATGTTTCTGTATATATCTTTAAAACTAAAGGATATCTTTACAGGACATTTTTAGAGGACATCTATAAAATTATTTAGGACAACAATTTTTGTAACATATTTGTAACAGGATTTATTGAAATCAGTAGAGTGTAGATGTCGGTATTCAATCGTGTTCCTAGAGAAAGCTGTAATAGCAGATGATGACGAGGAAACCTTAAGAAACCTCTGTACAGTTTGTCAAAACAGTGCTGGTGCACGGCATGAGATCTGATTGGATTAACTTTCGATTTCCATCATCCACCTGTTATAGATGAGGATCGGTCATTGTTGCCGATCGATGACTAATCCGCTCTGAAATCGTTAGTATTCGCAGTGTACAGGCGCTAACTGACTCGATTAGAGTTGGAGCTGGTCGAGAACAAAGGACCACCAGTGTGACAATTGAACTTCATCGTGCTGATATAAAGTTACAGATGCGAAGGGAGAAAATGAGAGGCGAATATATTAGGTCGACGTTCAAAATGGCCGTCGTGAAGCACAAGAAAAAATAGGGATGCGTTCGGTCCTCTCGCTTCCATGTATACCACATGCTGGTTCACTGAACGTCTGTAGGGGGAGGTTGAGAGATCAGGGAGAGCGCGTGCGCGAACTACGCGGATCGAAAGCTCCGCCCGGAGACTGCCTTTGTTTAATCTACGGTACCAACGCCCACGACATGTGGCCAGCAAACTACAAATTTCTCTCTCCATGGGATCCTAATCTTGGACTGCTATACGTCACAGATGCCGAAAAGCATACTACGAAGGGCAGCTCAATGACATCAAGTATAACTGTGAAACGAAGAAACTTTTCAATTTGCAATGATACTTTAAATAACTACAACGCGAAAAAGATAAAGTTGTTTAAACAGATGGCAATATAATTTTGTAAACTATAAATTTTACATTATATAAAAGAATAAATGATAATTTGCTAAGGAAAATAATAAACAATTATAGATACACGTCGTAATTTGTTGTCAAGGGGAGCTTATAGTTGTATGAAACGTAATTGCTTTAGTATAGTTCATTGTGTATTTTAATTAATTTAGAAGTTTTTTGTTTTTGTTGCATAAAGAAATGTCTTTATAAAATTGAAATTATAAATACATATAATTGGTCAGTAAATGTGTTTATAAAAAACGAAATTGTCACTCGGTAGCGTGGCCGAGCGGTCTAAGGCGCTGGTTTAAGGCACCAGTCTCTTCGGAGGCGTGGGTTCGAATCCCACCGCTGCCAATTTTTTTATTTAACTTTTTAAACAAATATAACTTTTATGAATTGTTATTAACTAATAAGAGTAATCGGTACAATAAACATGGAATAATAAGCGAATAATAAAAAAGAACTAAAGATAGTGTATGTTTAAAGATATAAGTATCTAATTTATACCTCAGTTGCAGATAATATCACATTATTGAATATATAAGTAGCTTAAGGCAAAATGTTGTATTAGTCTTATTTTGATGTTTGTTATTTTCAAATTAAAGCCCGCTTAAAAAAATAGTACCACTTACACTATCTAGCGGCAAATAGCAATACTTCACTGACTAAAGGTACAAAAAGACTGCGAATGCCTTTGTTCTCGAGGGGTCGTGATTTTGGAAATCTTAGACACCTTCAGGTGAAATTACGTCTGCATAAACAAAATTGGTAAGACAGTCGTGTCGGTTTTACCAGTTCCTCTTCTACCACACCTGACACTTACAACCGAAAAAAAAATACACAATTTGGACTCCCGTTGATTCTATTTTTCAGCAATCATTCAAAATTGGTCAAAAAATTATTACAATAATTGTTTGACAAAAATATATTTTAAAAAGACGGCCATGAATCAAATATATTTAAAATTCAATTTTAGTACCATCTATACAAAAACGACTGAAACTACTCGATAACTTACTGATCGATTTTCCGAAACAAGGGAATACTAGCGCTAACTATCAGGAAGTAGCAGAAGCAATTTATTTGAATCTGTAGTCACTGCTCGTGGTATTATACCCAGTTGCGGGGCACCTTTCCCTCCGTCGGTTTAGATCGCCATTTTTCCTAGAGGGTCGCCGAGCATGCTCGACAGTGTACACTAGCGCTAACTATCAGGAAGCAGCGGAAGCTACTTGATAACTTGGCGACTACCGTATCATAAGTCGAAACAAAACACCGAAGTAAAGTTGGCGCAGAATATTAATATTTCAAAAAAGTTCCAAAAGCTATTATGTCCAAAGCTATTTTTGAAATATTTATGAAACTTCATTGTTATGTTTAAAGAAATGTTTTCCGCAGCTTTACTTGCTTCTTTCTCTTACTTCTTTTCAAGTCTTCTACCATTATTTATCTACGACATTTAACCTTCGTTTTGTAAAAGAAAAGACGGCTTTATCCTTGATAGTTCCAGTGCCATTTCTTTGTCTGCAAGATTATATAAATTCATGGTAGCATTGCATATAATGTGCGAACATCTTTTTTTGTTGAGTATTAATTGATTATATGTTCGATAATTGAACCTTGCAATATGCAATTAGATACTTTGTTTTTTCAATATGTATTCATGGTATAAAGAAGTATAATTTCTTCTGTCACAGTTGCGTACAGAGATAGAGTGCAGTATGCACTAAACAAAACAAGAAATAAGTAAAATAGTGCCATGATTTTTATCATACATTGTGTTATTTTGTAAACTCTGTATCCTGTTAGTTGATTTAACATTAAATATCTTCTGTATCAAAAATATCCATCTCTAAAAGCATGTATTAATAGCTTGCCATCTTAATATTAACCAGTGTGCAGAAGTTCATCGATTAATTTCTGCTGCACTGATAGACCTCTCCTTATAAGCATAACATAACTAATTATTAGTAATATACGTTTCTGGTGACATCATTTTTGTACAAGCATGATTCATTTCGTTGATAAGTCATGCAATTATGACTGGGAACTATTTTTATATTTTATTTAGAAGTATCCTCGATATGAATCAATATTTTTTTCCTGGATTGTTAATCATGTTCCACAAGATAAAAAAAAGGTAAATTTATTTACATATTCATCGGTATTATTTAATCGAAGACGCGATGATACAAGCGACGGCACTTTTTTTTTAATTTACATAGAAGAAAAGGTATGCAGAGGAGTGAATGCTCTTAGTTGTTCGTCTTATGCACAATGACAAAGTGAATGGATGAATCGAAAGAGGTAAGCGGCCGACGAAAGTAATGTGCAAATACATGCTTATCACGTACGCGTGTACGACCGTGTGTGGTTATACTTTATGCGTTCGAATCTTTGTACATATATAAATTCGACATTCGATACGTATTCTCGCTTTTGTCCATCTACGCGCATGAATTTATGTTTCGCTGCGTCTACGAATGAAATATTTATTGTTCTCCTATTTTCATTCCATACTATTCACAGCCTCTAAGCTATATATACAAAGATTTTATTTTTGAACCAATAAATTTATTTTGGTTTTCCATCAAAATTTTATTTTGATCCTCTTGATGCAAATATGCAAATTCATGCTATTAATCTATAGCATCAGTTTCTTATAAATCTTGGTAGAAAGAAAGACGAGACAATGGAAAGCCTTTTCAAGAATTTGAGCAGCACGATAAGCATGCAATTTTATTAACCAATACAGAGAAATTCGTACAGTGCACACACGGTGTTGCGCTACTGAATACTGAAGCATCTGCGCACGTGTGAGTGCATTTGTATAGAAGTAGAGGCGCGTGTCGAGTTTGTTCTGAGTCTAGTGCGCAACCGGTCTGCGCAGGTCCCCGTAAAAAGCCGGGGGCGCGATTCCGTCGCCGCTCTTCGGATACCACGCGCGTTCGTTCTCTCAGTTTGTATTCAGTATCCACCTCGTGTCGGTGGATACGTTCGGTTCTTTAAATTAAATATCAACGAGCATTTGTTTGATAAAACGTGAAAACCCGTCCAGTCGTAGAAGCACGTTGCCAAAGTATCAGAGGTTAGGTGGAGACCGAACCGACGACAAGTAGTGCCAATTGTGCCGTTTGTTGACAGTGTTACCGAAACGAGGACCAAACAATATGCTGCCGCTAAAATTTGTCAGTCTACTGGTGATACTCCTTGCCGCGCATGGTGAGTCGATTTTACATTCTAAAATTTTTCATTCGCCACCGAATCGATCGGTCGCTCCGTAATTGTAGGAACTTGTTGAGCGTATTTGGAGCTCGTTGAACTTGATCGGAGCGGCGTGTAACTTTTGTTCGTGGGTGTGCACGCGGGACGGCTGTTCGAATAGTTCGACGGGCTAATTAAATTTAGATTTATCGGTTTGGAGTAGACGCGTTGGCGTGGGTGATGGAGTAGATGCGTGCTAGGAAACAACAAAGCCAGATGATCGTATTCACCCGGACGATAATTTCGCATGCATCACGGATAGTTAACAGTTACTTCACCGTCCGCTCCCTATAAGCAGTTGCAACAATAGTTACCATTGTGGGTAGCATCGGCGAGCAAGTTGTAATCGTTGTCGCGGAAGGAACAATTACGTGTATTAAAAAAGCTTAATTACTCTTCCTCGTTAGTTTAGCGAGTGGCGCATTTACTACCCGGTAAACTCATAATTGCACGTACTCTTAACTGCAATATTAAGAACACAATAATTTACCTCTTAGATTCATATTACATAGATCTATTTTATTTATACAAATATAATTTTATTCCGTCTATCTTGAATATTTCATACATTTTGTATTGCTTTCTTTCATATAGGACATGATTTGCATATATTTTGCATACATGTGTCATAATATCCGCAGTATACACGTAACAACATATTTATATTTTTTTCATTTTCGCCTTTCGTTTGCAACACTCTTAGTTTTTTTTTTCTCTTTGATGTAATAATTGAATAAGGTAGACGATGGTAGGGTCCGCAGTCTAATTTTGTCCATGCGTTACTCACCACGCGGTTCAATTTAATTCACAACCTACACAGCTGTATAGTATTGAAATCAATTACTAGATGAAAAGAGAAGTGTCCAGCTGGCAAACGTTTAGGTTCACATTTAAACTGTAACTCGAATCATTCAAGGCGCAATGTAGAATCGTAGAAAGTATTTCGTATAGCAAGTATAGCAATTATTCTGGGTGCGGCTGAAGTAAGTAAGCAATTTCAATTAGCCACCATTTCTATTTTAACTGGTTACACTTATTGTGTTTTATTAGCCAAGAAATCGCACGAAATAATTAAACTTAGTTTATGTTAGAAAGCCTTTCTAGTGTAATGGAAATTGGAAAAAAATATTACCAGCACCTGCGTACTTTATTATAGACCGTAGAGATGATAAGCGTTCGATATAAATTTTTCATTTGATGAAACGTTCGATTTGTTCGGCTCGTGAAAAGGTTGAATAGCGTTCGCGGCGAAAGATTTGTATTTTGACTCGCTTAACGAACCCGCATTCAAGTTGCACACGATTTCTGATGATACGTGTGTTCAATCGAGCCGCATACAAATCCTTGCTCCATTGAATAACATCAAGATTTCACTTTTCTACCCTCGCGGATCCGCTGACTTATCTTTCGATTCCAGTCCTGCCGGTAACGCTAACTAATTGTTTCATTAACATTCCCCGTAAACTGCATTCCTGTGCATATTCAACCGCGTGAATTTAACGCTCGATCGGCGTGCATTATACTCGGTGAACGCGCGAGAAAATGAACTTACACGATTTTACTTAAAAAGGATTTAACTACTTTACACTATAATCAGTGATCTATTCACTGGAGAAATAGTAAATTCAATGATTTGCCGGGGAGAAAGGCACGGTAAAATAATATAAATCACCCATTAACCTTGTAATTGAGATTGGTTGAATAATAATATTCAAGCTCGAGTAGTTTAAAGCGATAGAATTTCACTTTTATACCACTTGTATCACTTGTAGCTACACGATTGTTTTGCATAAGTCTACAAGATCAACGGGAAGATCCGTTTCTTGCATCGGTGGTCCAGCTGTTGGGCAAATTCCATTGAGGAAAGTATGCGAGCAAGAGAGAATGAGATGGTCTGGTATCGCGAAGAAACAGGCTGGTTCACAAAGAACCGGTGGCAGTAGTTGGCGGACGACTGCTGAATGGCCCGAAAATAAGATAAACGAAAGTAACACGGCAGAAGATGAAGGGAGGATGGGGGAGGGATAGGTGGTAGGGAACGCCAGGTGAACAGAAGATTCAGGTAGGAGAATGACTGGGGGGCAGATGGTTTCCTGGGATGAGAGAGACTGTTGCCTCGTGTCCAGCCTCGGTATTCACTGATTTCTGGTGAACGACGGCATCGTCGAAACGAGCCCTCTAACCAAGGATGTTCCATTTTTTCCTTAATAATAGGAGCGGCTTCTTCTTATCCCTGATGCTTACCAAGGCCCAACTCGTTTCGTACGTGACGAACATTCCGAGTAGAAAGCCAGGCCAGCGTCCGGTTGTGTGAGGATACCGTGAAACCGACACGGGGGGGAAAAACGATATTACGTCGACGATACTCTTCAACGGACGGATCGACGATCAACGTCTAGCGCGTTGGAATCCTTTTATGATAAAATCATAGTTCAATGGTCCCCGAGATAAGCACTGATAAAGTGTCACTGATAGCATTAAAATACCGCATAATCGTGAACACCGAGAGCAGGAAAATCTGTGACACTTTAAGCTTTTCTATTTATTGGTCAATCGGTTGAGAACAGTTGGAAATTCAACGTACAATACGGAGCACGGTAGACATCCCTAGGGAAAAATGGCGAGGATTGGGTCCTTATTTTCCCTAGAGAAGCCTACCATGCCCAGTACCATGGCAAATGGTATCAGTCTATATTCATAGTGAGATTAGTCATCGATAGTTTGTCATTATACGTGACCGTGTGCTAATGTGCTCATTGTAATGCAGTTGTTCCATATACATACTTCTTGTTCCTCGTTTCTCCTATGACATTCAAAGTTTCTTGCTTTTTTTATTTTTTTTATCTCGCAATAATACAGTGAGAGAAAAAAAAAATACTCTTTCTCTACCTCTGAAACAACGTAATTGCATAATTTACGAGGCACTGCAAGGACCATCGTTTCTCTCGTCTCGTATTTCTTCTCTCAGCGACAAGAATTAATGCAAATTTGATAACCAACGTGATATGACGGCTCGATGAGGTAGCGACAGTCTTCATGATTGTGTAACAAGCTGTTTTATAATTCTCGAATTTCTCATTGTGTAGGCGAGCAAAGTTGTAATTCGAAAAAATTCGACGATGTTTATTCGTATCATAGGAGGATAATACGGTGTCGCGCGATGGAAACACGCGAACCTCTAACGGGTCAAGATATGTATATCGGCCAAGTCTGGTGTACATACGTACTGTTTTAAACCGCGCACGCCACGATTTAATCGGTACGGTTTAAATACACGATCATCGGAAATTAACGGGGCCAGTGGCGTGCGTGTAAGTAGTACACCACGAATACTTATCAAAGATTACGTCACGTTACATCCCGGTTTATCCGAGTAATTAACTAATTGAGCTTCATTGGAGGATGGTGGGAGAGGTGACGTATAGAAGAGGTCAGCCCGCATGAGAAAACACTTTTGGACGTCTACCTTTTGAGGAAAATATCTTTCGAGTTTCTTAGAATTTTCCCAAGAGAAGACCTACTGCAGACGAGAAAGAAGAAGTATTAATCGGTATACCTGCATCGCCCACTCGCGTAGCCAGAGAAACGCGATACCTCGACGCCAGATTGTCGGTATACCTTTTTCACGGGAAAAGGTTTCGTGATTTCAGCTGGTAGAAATTTCCTTTCCGAGAAATTTTTTCTTTCTTACCTAAAACTTTGAATTTTTTCACTTTTCTAGTTAATTGATTAGGTAAATAGGCGATCGATATACATATATATATACATATATTTTTTAATGTACACAGTGTACTTATTTTTGAAAAATATTTTGTTTCATTCTTCACAGTTTATAACGTCTGAATCTTTTCTATAAATATGACACTAGATTTCTCGTTGTTTTTCAGACGGCTCATACACACCATGCTTTTTCCACTTTATGAATAGAACCGCGATAACGCCGTTCTTGTACTACATATTTACATAAGAATCTTATCTTGTCGCTCGTTAAACGCGTTCAAAAAAGTATGCTCTGATACAACGGGTAAATTAGCGGATCCGCGATTACGTGGCTTCAAATACTGACTTAATTCATCGAAGCAAAGGGAAGATAGAAAACGATTTCTATTCAAGGAACCGGCTTCTATTTCCAAAATAGATAACTAGAATCTTTTCCTATTATTACCCTTGACTCGTTGCCTAAAAACGTTCCGATAATGAATCTTACGAAATTTCCGCTATAATTGCGGCAACGAATCGTTCCGTATAGGATTTCTACCCGGCATACATAATCTTGGAATAACAGATATAAAATAAACATCAAAAACTGATTAAGCGTACCAAACAATGGTCGCTATTAATAACTAATCTTTGCCTAATTTAGAATTTTTCGAAGTTCATCAAATTCGAAGAACGGACCACCGTCATATGAATATTTGGGTTTTCCATTCCACGTCTGATGCACCTTTTTTCTTCGAAATATTATTCTCTTATTTCGGTTATCTCGCACGAATCACATTGATTTCTCGATAATTAAACAATTCACCGTGGGTACAGAATGAATCACAAAGATATCATCCGCTTATTCCGAACCGTTTCCGTTGACGGATGTCGATGAATCTCGCGTTTATTCCGAGCCGAAGCGCGTAGCCGACGAGACACGATTTCGGCGTTCCCGATTCGTATTTAGGCCGTGCGGTGGATTTGTGCCTCGTAATTCTTCGTCTCGTAGCGAGATCTACGAACGGAGAGAGAGAGAGAGAGAGAGGAAAACGGTTCTTTTCAATCCTTCCGTTTTATTTATCGCCGAATACCTCGACTCCGTACTCTCGCGGTCTTGAAATTTAAACAGCTGCACGCGTGTTTCCTATCCAGTGAACACACATTTTCATTGTTTAAACGGTTACTTAAATTTTCATTAACCACGGTGTAGAGGAGAATCCCAGGAAAGGCAAAAGACATGAAAAGATCGTCAGAAA